TTCCATACTAACGATAGATTCCTTCCATGTGTGGCTATGAAAGCCTCTAAGTTTTAACTCCCCCCAGGAGGGGCCCAAGCATGGCATCTCTGGCTTTGTGCGTGGGGCTGAAGTCACCAAGGGCAACTTCCCCAGGCCTCTATCATCCTAGCACACAGCACCGGAGTCAGAGTAGGTACTCCATAAATATTCATCTAATGAATGTGCTTATTTCGTTTTCTAACACTGCTGATTGCTATTGGAAATGTGCCAAAAAATGACATGACTTCTTGTTGGAAAAATAATTAAAAATAACAGCTCCTGCAAACCAGATGAATCCTCTCCACAAAATGCAGAAGGAACCAGTTTTGTTATTGGACACATGTTAAACTAGACTGTGCAGCAATCCACAAGAGAGATTGCAAAGACAAACAAAAATATTACCCTTGTAGAGAGCCAGGCAGATACAATCCATGGCACACTTGCTAATTGTCTTTAGAGGAAAAAAGGAACTTCTCATAGCTCTTCTGCAAGCGGGAATTTGCAACTTGGAACTGTGCGCCTGGACTACTCTCCCTCAGTGAGAGGGAGGCAGGCAGAGCTCCCTCTCCTCATGCTCACATTTCACAGAGGACAAGGCCTTCAAGAAAGCACGCCCGGGCGCGAAACGGGCAAGAGGCTCAGTTAGCTTTTAACAAGATTTGCGTGGGAAAGGAAAAGGATTTCTAATGATAGTTTTCCAAGGAAAATGCTGGAAGAAAATGCAGAGGAGAAAAGATGTCTTTCCTTTTTGACAGCAGGGAAATTTTTAATTTTTGAGGGGATTTGTTTTAAAGAGGAGGAAACATCTCCCACCCCAGCCCCTGCCCTTCTAGGCTCAATGTTGGAGAGGAAGAGTGTGGGGAGGGGGTTGTAACAGAGACAGGGAAAGAGGGCTGCTCCAGCCCAGACATAGGAGTCTTTCTGCCCAGGCTCAAATATTTCAATAACCACATCTTGGGGTGACTCTGGTCCCAGCCACCGTCCATGTAACCGTGTGAGAGAGCCCAAATGAGAACTACCTAGCTAAGCCCAGTCAACCCCTAGAACTGGGAAATGATTAAAAACAATAGCTGGTTTTTCATTGCTAGACGTGGGGTTAATGGGTATAGGAGTGATGGAAACAACTTATGTCTGGGAATCAAAAGACCCAAGTTTTCATACTAGTAGTCCTCCCTCTCAGCTGTGTCCTCTTGAGTTATAGCGTCATCAAATCTCAGTTTCTGCACCTACTAAATGGGCATAATTATATTTCCAAGGAGGATTATTTTCCTTTTGCCTCATCCCTCCCAAACCCATTTTCTTCTCCACCCAGGAGGTTAAACTCTGTGGACAGTTCTTCCTGCGGCTTCACTCCCCATCTGCATTAGGTTGGGCCAGCCCTTGGCAGACATTGCTGGGAGGTCAGTGGACAGGAGAAGAGAGAGTTCAGGGTGTTTACCCCACCACCGGATGCCCTTGCCAGGCCGCAGTTTAGACAGTGGCTACGTTCCTCCATGGTTAAGTTCATATGGGTGGCTCTTCTCCCGAGGGCAGCTCTTGCCAGCTTCTGAGAACACTGCTTTCTCTCCCTGACATTTATTACAGAAAAAAAAAAAAAAAAAAAAAAAAAAAAGCCTGGCCATGTGGCTCAGTGGTTGAGTGAAGACTTAGGAGGTCACAGTTCGATTCCTGGTTGAGGCACATGCCCTGGTTGTGGGCTTGATCCCAAGTTAGGGCGTGCAGGAAGCTGCCGATCAATGCTTCTCGCTCATCATTGACATTTATATCTCTTTCTCCCTCTCCCTCTCTTTGTGAAATAAATTATACATATATGAAAACAGAAAATTATTCTGACACTTGTTAAAATGTAAGATTTTATTCCATAATTTAATAAAAGAAAACTTTATTCAAGACTATTGCAATGGGGTGGGGAGGGAGGAGATTGAACTCAACTTGGAATACAAGAAAGGACGGATGGGGATTGATAGAAAAGAAGCAGGTAAGGGGGTCAGTAGGTGGAGGATGACTAAGAGGAGACATCAAGCATCAAGGATAGGAGGATTCTTGATAAAGGGACAGGAAGTAGACGTCAAAGGTGAGGGATGAGGAACTTGATCAGTATGAAGGGAATCAGGTATCAGGAGTAGGGGGATTCTCACAGAACCAATGGCAGGATTCCTGAGACCCGGCTAGACAGGCCAAAGACAGACAGTGCCAAAGTGGAGACCCAGTCAGAAGAGTTCTCAAAGAACGGAGTGAGATTTGGCCAAGAGAGTGTCTTTGTCAGCCTTCGGGCTCATTGTTGCGAATCCCTGGCTCCTCGTCTCCCTTGTTGGTTCTCTTACCCACACCCACACCTCTGCACATGATCCTGTTCATGTTAAACCATAGGAGTGATGGTTGCTCCCTCTCCTGCCAGCCACGGACTGCTGGCCCAACCTACCCCACAGACTCGCTTTGAGGACCACATGAGATGATGTGTGCAAAACTGCCATGGAAGGCCAGAATTAAAGAGTCATCTTCATGATTGAGAGGAATCCTAGGGCAGTGCTCTGTCCTGGGTTCAAATCTTGGACTTGCTTCTTTTTAGTTGGGCCGTTGGAGGCGAGTGCTTATTTTCCTCAAGCCTTACATTTTCATCCTACTACTCAAATAAAGGAAGTCTCTCTCTTGTAGTCTTGGAGGATCCAATATGCAACACACCCTAAATTCCTACAAGCCTCCCTCACACATGACAGGTATTAAATATGGTGTGAGTTCCCTACCTTTCCCCCACCCCTGTTAGGAAATTGTTTTGTCAGTGGGTTTTATAAAGCCACCGATGCATCCGAGGCTTCTAAAAGGGCTCTCGCACAGCACTTCAGACCCTTTCCTCACTGCTCTGACAGGCAGAGCCTCCCATTACGGAAGAATGGATTGCCACAGGCCAGGAATTTATTGAATTGCCCAAAACAAGTGTTGTTTTGCTTTTTCACTGAAGATCATGAGGTTCAGGTATAGAATACTAATTGCATTTTTGTATTGTTTTCTTTTTATCTCTTTCCATCAAAAAGAACAACACATACATACAGTGGTTTCAGAAAATATTCAGAGAAGTCTATACAGTAAAACTTGCAAGTCTGTACCTCATGCACTTTGGAGTAACATTTTTCTTTCCAGTCTAGATTTCAAACCAATTGAGAAATTAGATGAAAACAGACAGGACCAATAATCACTTTTATTAGCGATAATGGCCTTGGAGAATGTGGCTGACAGTCATGGTGGTCTGAACCACAGACCACCACCTGTCACTGATGTTATTGGGTCAACACAGAGTCTTGGCCACCAATGACAGCATGGCCCAGTGCAGCTCAGCTCCTGGCTCTCTGCGGGCGAGAGTGCTGTCACAGGAAGGTGAGATTGGGGAGCAGAACTTCATGCCAGTCCTTATCCCGAATGCATCAATCATTACAGCTGGCCTCACACGTGTGTGTGTGTGTGTGTGTGTGTGTGTGTGTGTGTGGAGGAGGGGGATTAATGAGATGGGTTGAGAGAGGCCAGGAGGGTTATATGCATGGCTGTTCTCCATGAGGAAGGAAACATCAAGGGAGGACCAAGTGCTCCCCTTCCACATGCATTATCTCCTGCTTCCTGCTCCTGCGATGGTGCTCCCACAAACATCCGCACACATCTTCCTGTGGGTTCTTGGGTGAGCATCTCTATAGTGAAAGTTTCTAGAAGTGAGATATGTAGACTTCAGATTGACGTGTACTGAGTACTTACTGTGGACCTGGGAGCTGAAAGTGTGTTTTTCCTTTTATTTCTGCTGTAGTTTACCACGCCCACCTTATCCGTGGCCTCTTCATGCAGGAAGGCTGCTGAGGCTGCAGCATCTTCCGTGAACAGCCGTTTAGCGAGGTCAGTCACCGAGTGGGGTCAGCAGATCCAGGCTGTCCCATGTGACCTGCCGAGTCGCATGTATCCGGACATGCCACTGATCCTCCTCCGCCCCCCCATGGCCTCCTCTGTAAAATCGTCATACTATCACCAAAGGGCTGTGCGGGGAATTAAATGAGTTGATGTATTTGAAGTGCCCAGGGAAAGGCCAAGCTAGAAAGAGTGAGAAGAGGAAAGGGAGTGGACACAGTGCAGAGGAAGTAAAAATCGGGTGCACAAGAGCCATTTGAGGGGCCTTATACCAAGAGGCGGAAGGCCATCCTTGGGAACACTTGGCACTCAGCCCCGGGTTGAGCAGCTCCTGGCAATACCTGCCTGGCGTTCAGTGGCCACCAGCAATGCCCAGAAGCACCAGGCCTCCACTGGTTCATCTGCAGCGCAGCCCCAAGCGCCCCGGCGGCCCACAGGGTCCTCCTTGGTGCATCTGACATCAAAGGCTTCTTTCCAGGACGGGCCAGTGTCGCTTTAATAGTGAAGGAAAGTAAAGTGAGACCCAGAAATCAAATGCAAGGTCACTATCCCAGGGCCGCAGTGCAATAGCCACTGGCAGCCCTGCTGTCCCAGGGCCGGCACAGCCTGCTCCCCGCAGCGGGCGGTCACAGGTGTCCTTAGGAGGAGGATGCGGTCCTGAAGGTGGCTGGGCTGCTCATTCGTGCGCAGCAAGGTTGTGGCTGGGCCGAGCGCTCTTTCCGGAACTGGGGGTGTTGCTAAGCATCGTGCCCTCTCCCGGTCTCCTCCGCCCTGGCCCAGCCTGCGGGAGCCGGCTCCGGGCCCTCACCCTCCCTCCCTCCCACACTCCGCCTCCTCCCCTGCCCACCCGGCGCCGGCTCCCGCCAGGCCGCCGGGCGGAGGAGCGCGGGCAGCGCGTCCTTATCAATGGGCCGAGCAGCTTAGCGCGCCGCCACCTCCCCAGCTCGGGCTTCCGCGGGCTGCGGGGCCCGCCATGCCCCCTCGGGGCGCGGCTGCTGGCCCGGACCCGGGACCCTGCGGAGCGCACTGAGCTCGGCGCGGGCGGAGCGCGGGGAGACGGCCGTCGGGGCTCAGGCTGCGGAGCCGCCGGCACCATGCGCCCCGGGCTGGCGCTGTGGCTGCTGCTCGCCGGCGCCGCGCACACCGTGAGTACCGCGCCCGTCCGCGGGCCTGTTGGGGTGCAGGCGGCGTGGTGGGAGCGGGGGATTCCCAGATCTTCCCCTCAAAATACAAATGTGTGCGCCATGAGGAGAGAGCGCTCGGATGAGCCCCTGCCCCGACCTCACCCCTGCCGGAGGACCTCTGGACGGAGACTCCCGCGCGCTCCCCGTGGCGCTATTGTGGGCTGGGCGCTTGGCTTCCGTTATTTTACTGAAATCTCACAGCCTCCTGACGAGGTTGATATATCACCTCACTTTCCAGACAAGAAAACGGAGACTTGGAAAGACCAAAAACACTGCCCCAAGTGAAGACAATTGGAAGCCAGGTCCGTCTGCCCAAAGCCTTGACATTTTCGCTCACACCAGGCTGCGGGCGGGAAAACCTCAGAAGCTCAGAAAGGCAGCTTCCGGGGCTGAGACGGGGCTGTTGGCAGCTCCCGGCCCCTCTCCTGGGGATTCGGCTCCCTAATGTCTGCGTGCCTGGGGGACCCCTGGGAGCAGCTGCTCTCCCCAAACCAGGTCCAGGAGGAGCTGGAGAGAAGGGAGAAGGCGGCAGAGCGGGTGGCTGGTTGTTCTTTCCCACGGAAACTCCTGGGAACGGCAGGCTCTCCCTGTGGGGTTGGTGAAGGAGAGAGTGGCTGCACCCAGGCTGGTGGATGGAATGGGGAGGCGGAGGGGTAGAGGTAGGAGCGAGGGGGGCAGATTTCAGAGCTATTTCTTTCCACCAGCATTCCAGACTGGCCTCCAGGGCATCTGACCCAAGAAATTCCCAGGGAATGCACCTGGGGACCCCACTGAGACTCTCTAACCTCTGTCCTGGCCAAGTCCTCGCTGGTGTCCAATGACCTTGCCCTCTTGTGATCCTCTCCTGCTCGGTCTTAAGGAAAACCTCAGCCCCCTGCGTGGTGGGAGTGCTGACAGGCGGTAGCTGCCATCTTTCTGGCAGGTCATGGCATCCCAGAAGCAGTAGTTGGGAAGAGCGGAATTTGGGGATTTTGTCCCCATCTCCCTGGTAACCTGGAGCAACAGCACCCACTCATTCCTCTGAACTCCCGATTTGGGGGGAAGCCACCTGGGGCATTGGGGGAAATTCAAAGCCAAAAACAGCCCACCGGTGTGTTGTTGTGCGGCGCCCAGGGGTGGGAGAGGACTCTGGCTTCCTCTCTGTGACCCTCCCAGCCTCCTTCCTAAGTGTTTGCAGTAACGTTGAGGTTATCCCCCAAATCAACAAGTCTGAGGTTCAGCCCACATTTTCATTTCAAGGGGACCCCCATATTATCTCAAGAATAAGCTGGGGGGGGGGGTGAGAGCCCTCACTTGGTTCAAGTATTCAGTGTGCCTTGGGAGGGTGCTTCATTATGCTCTGGCCCAGTTCCCTCACTTTACAGACGAGCAAACTGAGGCCGCAGAGAGAAGGGACCTGCCCCAGACCTTCAAGTTAGTGGTAGAACTGGGACCAGAACCACTCAGGGCTTGGCCGATTACATCCCTTGTCCTTACATGTCATTTTCCTTCGCTCACTGCTACTGCCTAGTATTGTTACCAGGTAGTTCCCTGGAAGTGTTGGCCCTTTGGTATTTTATGGGCTTATTCAGACCTCAGGTAGAGAACTCCTTTACAAAATAAGAAAGGAATTAGCATTCATTGATTGGTGTACTTCCCAGCCTATGAAATCCTAGTTTTCTTCCGTGTGACTGAGTGGTCAGGTACTTGATTTTGAAATGTAAGGTTATTCAAACAGTTTTTTATTCAGTTGGGTCTCTCTTTTGAATGAGAGCATAGGCACCTTCCTAATGGGAGGTCGTTAAGGCCAAATTTTGCTTGTCACTGGCCTTTCCAGAGGTGCCAAGAGGGAACCTTGCAAATGGAAACCAAAAAGTGATTGTCACAGGAAACCCTGACTCCACCTCCCATGTACCTCTCTCATGAGGACAGCGTGTAATTATTCACCAGCACAGTTGTCCTCTCCTCTTCTCCAACACATGCATTTTGAACCTGAGCACAGAGACTTAGTTTTCTTCACCCTTCATCCCTAGACCCCATCACAGTGTAAGAGGGAGCTCGATGATTTGTACCGAATGAATGAATGAATGAATGAATGAGTGAGTGAGTGAAATGATGATGATATCCACGGGGAGTGTCTTGTGGCAGTTTCATACAGCAACAAGTAATGAAGAATGACATATTGAAAGCAATCACTGCTCACAAACTTGCACATAAATGTAGCAGGCCAAGGGAATTAGTCATTCAGGGTGGGTGTTAAATCCAGGGCACATGGCAAACTGCCAATTTGATAATCTCAGTGAGTTAAGTGGGTGGGGGACTCCTTGTTCCTTCAATCACAGTTTCTAACTTTGACACTGTAATCTTGGGTCATTTACCTGGGATTTCAGCATGGGGTGCCAGAAAGAGAGCTGTGTTCTCCCTTGGCACGAATGGAATGATGGGGCGGGGACAGTGGGCGGAGAGGGGAGTTGGATAATTATTTGTTGTGTGTCCTGTGCATTGTGTGATGCTTAGCACATCCCTGGCCCTACCCATAGAAACATCTCTCCACGTTGTGACAACATTTCCAAATGTCCCTGGGAGATGGGGAGGGCAAAGCTGCCCTGGCTGAGAACCATGCCTTACCATTGTCAGGTTTCAGGGGCGATGCATTGACAGGAATAATCGCAAGTGTCACTTGCATGTTGGACTCTGGGCAGTGGGGTCGGTGACCGGCAATCTGAGTTGGAGGACAGAGCAGGAACACCTACTGGATCCATTTCGAAGCCCTGGGCGGTGTGGGGAGTCGGGGGGGGGGGGGGGGGGGGGAGGCTTCAGCAGGTCTTTCACACCTTCCCTTCCCACTTTCCCTCCTCTGTCTATCCCTCCTCAGTTGACAGCTCAGAAACATAAAAACTCCATGTGTGGTTCTGGCATGGAAGCCTCCAGCACATGGGGGTCCCTGCCTCCTCCTGTGGTGCGTCTGGCCCCAGAGGCTGACAGCTCTGTGGGGCTCTGTGAGCAGGATTTTAGGAAAGCCTGCCAAGGCCACCTGAGGGCTGGCTAGTGACAACGCTTCTGAGGAGGGACCTGGGATTTGTATACCTGACGAATCACTTTCTGAATTTCTGAGGAAGTATTGTAGATTTCTGTTAAGATTTTTACTCTCCCTAAAATTAATGTGAATGAAGATGCTGACGAAGGCTTCCCTTGTTGGCACTTATTTCACAGGAGGTAATGTGCTAAGTCCTTCCCATCTCCCTCATTTAATTCTCACTTCCAGCACTAGAACCCCAGGCCAGGCAGCGAGGACACTGAAGCCACTTGCTGAGGTCGGCCCACTGGACGAGGTGGGAGGACTCACAGTGTCTGAACCAGCGCTTGTGTCTGCTCCCACCGAGAGGCTGCTCTGCGTTCTGGTGCCCAAGGAGCTGTTGTGCAATTCCTTCCCCAGCCTCAAAATGACATTAAACTCAGTTTAATCTAATCTGTAACAATAAAAGCATAATATGCTAATTAGGTCAGATGTCCTTCTGGTCATCCTTCTGGAGAAAGCCAGGGCTTAGAGGGAAGCCCAGGCCCTGGGTACCTGCCAGCAGCCAGAGGAGGGAAGTCTGGGTCCTGGGTGCCAGAGGGAAGCGGTGCTGGCAGCAGGGGGAAGAAAGGCCTACTGTTGCACGAATTTCGTGCATTGGGCCTCTAGTTGTTTTATAAAATATAATATTGAAACACACACATTTTATTGAGGGAGCCAGAGAGGAGCTTGGGGTCACCAAATCAAACAAGCAGGAGTTTGATTTAAGGAGTCCAGACTGTTTAGGGGAGTCCTCTTGGCCTTGGCATCACCTTTTTGGGTCTCCTCTCCCTCCTCTCTGTCCCTGTAGCCTCACCCCATCGTTACCTTCCGTGGCCAGGGAGGGCACAGCCCTCTTCCTGGCACTCCTGTGGAAAGCTCAGATTTAACATTCAGGATTAGAGCTCCGTGACCAGATTGGCTGCCTCCAGTGACCCCTGATTTGTCCCTGTTTCCCTGCCCTAAGCAAGCTGGGGTTTCTCACCACTGACCTTCACTCAGGCTCCGGGACAGCCGCAGCCTAAGGTAAAAGCTACAACACAAGATCCTATCTACTTGCTTACATTACAAACAGAGGACTTTGTGTGGACCTGAGAGAATGAGAGTGTCCTGGGCCTGCCCAGCCTTACCGTTCTGTGGCTGACAGACTCCAAGGGGCTTGGGGAAGGAACGCCCCTGGTTGATGGCCTTCTGCAATCCGCTCACGTGCTGCCAGGACCCCGAGTTCCCCACGTCTTCAGAACCCCCACAAGTCCAGAGTCAGCTCCCTCACCCCTGGCTCTCAGAAGTGGTGTCTGTGTGTCTTTTCAAATTCTGACCTTGTCACCTCCCCTTTCCTCTTCAACACACAGGCTGGCCTCCCATTTCCTGAGAATCTACAGTAGGGTTTAATCACAAAGAACAACAACAGCCTGTAATTATTGGAATTGAGAGTCTAGATTAAGCATGTCAAACTCAAAGGCTAACGGGAGCCAAATTAGCAAGGTTGAAGTTTATGTGGGCTTTTAAAAAAACAAAAGCTTCAATTTTCATAGAAACATAGGTTTATTCAATAGAGACATGCTGAATACAAAGGGCTGAAATAAATAAGTAATCATTAACATAACATAATAGAACATTTTAATAAAAATTAATGTGTTTTCTGAACATTAACTTACCAGATACTGAATAACTGCACAAATTAATAAGCTTAACACAAATAAATGTATTTTTCTTATTTTTCAAAAGCAAGCTATTTCCAAACAAGTCAGTCCAAGACTGATATGGGGCTATCGGCTTCTAAAATATTCACTGCTGATATTAGTGTAGAGAAATGGTGCGCCTGCAAGTAAGGCATGTAAGGGAAATGAATGCAACACGATTATAGTAATCAGTCATTAGCGAATGTTGTAGTTCGTTATTCATAATTATGCATAACAGGTTATTG